CAAAGCCATTTCTCGTGTACAAAAACATTTGATTAGTATATATTTTTAATAAAAGGCCAACCGACCTTGAGGATCCTAGTGGAAGTAAGATATCTGGTTCTTAGACCAAGTCTTCCATGTCTTCTTTCGAATAGTCTTTACTCCATTCTATGTCCTTTATACTGAACGTTAAAATTCATTGCGTAAAAAATCTTAGAGACCTTTTCATGCTTATAAGACAATATTGGACATTGCGAAATTATAAAACTGTAAAGTTACTGAAAATGTCTCGCCTAAAACTCTTAATACGTTAATTTAAAGAAACTTTATTGCTACTGCACAATTTGAGCGGGTGCAAGTTCTCTAGCAGTAAAAGATCCGGCTTAAATGTTTAGGTATTGTATTTATCCCGCTTTGTATAGTGCAGGAAGTCTTAACTCTCCAATATAATAGGTGATTTTTAAAATCTATTAACTCTTTAAAAAATTAAAATTTTAATATTGTTTTTCAAGACAAGCTCTACAAATTACCAGTCAGATTTTAAAATATAATTCTATAAAGAGTTAATAGCTTTTAAATTTAGATTATTTTTATATTAAAAAACAATACAGTAAGACCTCCCTAAGTGCACTCCCTTGGGACTATAGTCAAAAAAAAAGCAAAACGTACACTTAAAGAGATAGAGCATTTATAGAGAGCAAAATATATAATTCTCTTATAAGTTGGGGTCAAGTTATGCTGCATTTAGAGAGAATTTACATAGTGCGTGCACTTATAGAGTGTGCACTTAAAGAGATCTTACTGTATATGATTTTTTAATTTGGACCAATCAAAAACATTATAAAAATTTTTTTGACCAATTAAAATTTAGCTTTAAAAAATAAAATTTAGGTGGTGTTTCCTATTCTAGCAACCTGATTGGCTGATTTAGGTTACACTGCATATACAAAATTGAAACATTGGCTAGTAAGACTTCCTGCGCCATATTAAAACGATAAATTTTTTAATTTGATTGTTATCCGATAGACGATAATGCACCTAAATTGGGTGACTTGGGTTTGTTTCATTTAAACCTGGGTTTTGATTCATTTGAACCCGGGTTTGGACCCTGAATAATGTTATCCGAAACTAATTTTTTTACTAAATTAAATTTCTAGAGAACATTATTTGTAAATTTGTGAACGACCCCTTACGTGAATTAACAGTTTTTTTTTTTGGCAATTTCTATTTGTACACGGGGTGTATATACACGGTATCTCAAAATTTTGATTATGAAACCATTTTTTGGCTCATAGCAAAAAAAAATTCCTTGCGAAATTTTGATATAAGCTATATCTTGTCCGATCCCAACCCACCCTTACCCTAACCATAAGCGAGTGTTAAATTTTTCATTTGTAAAAATTGTTTTGATTAGTATGTTGCACGAATATATAATTCAATAAATTATACCCGTGTATAAACACTGTGTAAACTAATAAATTTTCTTTTTTTTTTATGATAGTTGAATTATGTGAGACATCGAAATAATTGTCTTACAAATTATTTACTTCATAAATTATATAAAAGATTATCTACCTTAACAGTGATATTTATAAAATTATAGCCTGACGGCAGATTATTCTGGAGCCGACGTTGTCCAGTCTAGCATACAATCTTTAAGTACGTATGCAAAATAAATATTACCATAAAACACAAGTTTGGTTTTAATACTGTTAATAAAAAGAAATATTGGTATTAAAGAGATTGATAATCAAGAGAGTTGGACTGTAATGACATTTATCGACTTGATCTATTACTTTATCAATTACTGTCACCTTCGCTTCAGATACGAAACACGTAACTTTCAGCGAGCGTCAAATACCTAACCCATCGTTGTGGCGGTAATGAATCATTCTTTTCAAACACTTTAAGGCGACGAATTTGAATATTAGAACACGTGTAGTTTTGTATATCGAATTCAAGACTAATACATTTTAAACCAAGTAATAATCTTATTAACATTTAGTGCATGTAGATAAATGAAATTCTCAAGCTCTTACTTGATGGGTCCTATTTCCAAGTGAGCTGCGGGGGAAAACTGACTTGCACCAGTGACCTAATAATGAGTGTTTAACATTAATAATTATAGAAACCAATTTGTTATTCAATACGAATTAATATTAAAAATTCGTTGGTTTTTTTAACTGCATTATGGCGTGATTAACATGATTACCGCCATTGATAAACAAAATAAATACTAACTTTTATTTTGAATGATTGCTCAGTACCACCTTTTAACCTATTAATCGTCCAAAACACTTTTCTTACGCGGCTATCATATCGAGCTGACTGATCTGCAAATCCATCCAAATGTTCATTTGACACACTAAAATAGAAAACAATAAACCATAAATTATGTGATTACAACAACTCAGGAATAAAAATATAATACCTTTGAGTAATATGCGGTAAAGGAACAATTACTGTGCAATTTGTTGCAATCTTATCTTCGGGGAAATCTGCCCGAATTCGAATAATAACGTCCAATTTATTTGGACTCCCTGGAACATCTAAAATTTGTGGAAATATCCGAAATGGCAAACTAATATCACTAGATATTCGATAACTAAAGGTAATTTAATTATTGTTAGATTTAATGAATAACAATTTGTATGTTCAAGTAATATTCAAAAACCAACATCATAGCAGTTATTTCTCCTTCTTGTGGAAATATAATCAATTGTCTGTGTCCTTCAAAATCTAAGGTATAATACCAATAATAATCAATAACAACCCAAATAATTATATAAGTATTAATATTAATAATGCAATATAGTTACCTGAAGAATCTACCAATTCATGAAACTTGTAGTCGTCAAATGTGATCCCAAATCGATCATCTTTCGTTCATTATAATATAGGAATGAGATATCTGTGTTATAAATTTAAATGTATAAGACAACAACTTACCGGTATTATACATGTCTCGACCGTGAGTCATACTAGAATTCAAGACCATACGAATCTCAGAGTTATTTTGTAGATAACTCTTAATTTGTATTGATCCATTGATATCAGCGTGGATCGTCATTCCCTATATTGTCAAAAATATTAAACATATTCAAATCATAGTGTACATTTTAAAAAGTGAATATGTGTAAAGTCAAACCAACATCGGAAGCGAAAGAAGCAACAAGTCGTTCAATAATATCAATAAAGACTTCATTTTGTTTATATCTCCCTTCATCGCGTGAATGAGCGGTTGGTTTACTAATTGGCTTGCTGCTGGAAGATCCTAGATTCGTTCCATGAGCCCTTAACTAAAATGACGTTTCATAAATAAACTATTAATTTATAATAAATTTAATTAACAAGGCAAATAAGAAAAATTAATAACATACTTTTGCTATAGAATTTATTATTATATTTTCTTTCTTAACGGGTATAGGTTCTTCATAAACAAATAATTTTAATTGGTCGGTTGATGTTGTTTGAGGATAACCGTAATCCTGATAATAAAAAAAAAAAAAATTGGAAAGATCGATCGTTTGATTTATCGAATTTAATACATCAAAGACTTACAATTACTTCGTCTAACAATTCGTAAATTAAGCTAGAATTCAGTCGCACACATTCTTCACTTAATATTCCACAAAAGTCTCTAATTAAGCTAGCGATACGGTCGAGTAATTCAAAGGTCATAAAAGTTGACACATTAAATCTTGTAGTGCATACAAAATATAATCCTTGAATATTTGTGAATAAGATTTGAACACCATCGACGTTAAAAGTTGGGGGAGGGTCTTGATCTGGACCATGTTCTTTATGCCAATTTTTTAATCTGTCAAGAAATAGGTCGGAGGTATTGCGAGAAACATCGTGACGGTCTGTGAATAATGCTAAGGATAAGCAAGGTAGTATTATGCAGAATAAAAAAATATATATATATTTAACCTACAATCACGGAATA